GCTCTCTTCTGGGAGGCAGAACGGCCCCACGCTGAGAACCCTGGGCTGAGTCACCAGGTTCGGAGAAAGTGCGAATGTGAGCCGCGTGGACCGAGGTGCGGCCGTTGTTGCCAGGGAGGCTCCGGCGTGGTGGCCTTAGCTGTCCTTTTCCTTCCCAGGGCACGTTCAGTACTCACACCACCCCCTCGACCGGAGTCTAGGGCTGGCCTTCAACTACAACGAGACACTAAACGTGGCCATCGTCCCAGGCCACAGAGCCTTCTGATCCCTGGTCCGAGAACAGCCTGCTGTTTTCCCACAACTCAGGTGAGCCGAGAGGCCCAGGGCGGGGCGGCCTCCTCCAGGTGGGAGGGACAGGCACCCTTGACTGCACCTTCAGTCTTTCTCTCCTGTGACGGGAGTGGGCCCCTCACCTCGCTGGCCTCACCGCGGTCTTCCCACGTCCGGGCTGCAGGACGGTTTAGGGTCGCAGAGACAGACGGGTCCTGAGACCCTCCAGACTCCCAGGGCAGACGGGCCTAGATCTTTGGTCCACGCTGAGGCTCTCAGCGCCCAAATGAGTAAACTCCCCTGGGAAGAAAAATCAGAAATGGCCCTTCAGCTGAGCCTTTCCAGGCATCTGCCACCGTGGAACTCTTCACCTCACGGGAGGTGTAAAGAGAGGAACAAAAACGCAGCCTCTGGGCCGGGCGCGGTGGCTCTGCCTGGAATCCCAGCACTCTGGGAGTCTGAGGGCCGGAGGATCACTTAAGGTCGGGAGTTCGACACCAGCCCGAGCAATGTGAGAGACGCCGGCTGCTACTAAAAATAGGAAAATTACCCAGGGCATGGGGTGCATGGGCTGTAAGTCCCAAGCTTACTCGGGAGGCTGAGCAGGGAGGACTCTTCTTGAGCCCAGGAGTTTCTCTTTGCCTTGGCCTCCCAAAGTACTGGGATTACAGCCACCTCACCCAGTCTCAAGGCTAGGTTTTTGTTAAAACTCACTCACTTAGCTTTTCATATCTGAAATCCATCTAGCTTTTCATTCACCTATCCATCCATGTGTCCATTCACCTAACTCCTCCTCCATCAGCTCACCCATTTGTCCCTCCATCCATCCACACATCCACCCACCCACCCACCCATCCACACATCCATTCATCCACCCACCCACCCATCCACACATCCATCCATCCACCCACCCACCCATCCACACATTCATCCATCCACACATCCACCCATCCACCCACCCACCCATCCACATATTCATCCATCCACACACCCACCCATCCATCCATCCACACATTCATCCATCCACACACCCACCCATCCACATATTCATCCATCCATCCACCCACCCACACATCCATCCACCCATCTAACCACCCATTCATCCAAACATTCATCCATCCATCCATCCATCCACCCACCCATCATCCACCCATTCATCCATCCATCCATCTACCCACCCATTCATCCACACATTCATCCATCCATCCATCCACCCACACATCCATCCACACATTCATCCATCCATCCATCCACCCACACATCTACCATCCATCCACCCACCCACCCATAATCTACCCATTGATCCATCCATCCATCCACCCACCCACCCATCCACCATCCATCCACCCATTCATCCACACATTCATCCACCCACCCACCCATCATCTACTCATTCATCCATCCATCCATCTACCCACCTACTCATCCATCCATCCACCCACCCATCCATCCACCATCCATCCACCCATTCATCCACACATTCATCCACCCACCCATCCATCCACCATCCATCCACCCATTCATCCACATTCATCCACCCACCCACACATCCATCCGATCACATTCAATCCATCCATCCATCCATCCACCCAGCACATCCAGTCCATCCACAGTCAATCCACCCCAACCCATTCACCATCCATCCACCCACCCATCCCATCCATCCACACATGTATCTCATCCACCCCAACCATGCAGCCATTCACGCCACCCACCCATCAGTCCACCCACCACCATCCATCCATCCTCCATCTCCAATCCATCCCCTCTTATCCATCCATCCACACACCATCTTCTACTCACCACCTGCACATTCATCTGCACATTCACTATATCAGCATTAATTATGTGGTATCTACTAGTTGCTCAGCCCTGTGGATAAAACATAAATCTGGTGCATATATCACTGATGGTATACAAGATTATTTTATTATTTTTATTTTTATTTTTTTGAGACAGAATCTCGCTTTGTTGCACAGGCTAGAGTGAGTGCCGTGGCATCAACCTAGCTCACAGCAACCTCACACTCCTGGGCTCAAGTGATCCTCCTGCCTCAGCCTCCTGGAGTAGCTGGGACTACAGGCATGCGCCGCCATGCCCGGCTAATTTTTCTATATCATATTATTTGGCCAATTTAATTTGTTTATATTTATAATAGAGACGGGGTCTCGCTCTTGCTCAGGCTGGTTTCGACTCCTGACCTCAACAATCCGCCCACCTCGGCTCCCAGAGTGCTAGGATTACAGGCATGAGCCAACCTGCCCGCCTACACAGATTAT